GGGGGACCCTAACAGTTATTTACTTTTTTTAGTGTTAACTTTTTCTTCTGATATCAGGAAGGCTGTGGCTGCGAGAGCTCGCAAGCAGGGAGACCATCCCTTTGCCATTCAATCCAACTGTTTGGAGAGATCAGCCATGGGCTGATGTCATGAGCCTAGGACTTAGGTCAGGACTCCAATTGTCATGTCGTTTCTTTCATGTACATAGAGGAAGAAAGGCTTCTTACATCCGGGAGTCCCAGAGCAGGGGCACTAACTAATGTCTCCTTGATGGCACGAAAAGCCTGTAGTTGTTTAGATTTCCAAATTAGGGGCTCCCTTCTGTCCCCCCTTTATGGCTTTGCATAAAGGCTTTGTTAGAGTGAAATTAGGTATCCAAATTTGGCAGAACCCAGCCATTTTCAAGAACTCACGAATGTGTCTTTTTGAAGTTGGAGTCGGGATTGAACAGACAGCTTGTTTTCTTTTTGCGTCAAGGTTCTGCTGGCCTTGGGAGATGTGAAACCCCAAATATTTGACTTGGTCTTGACAGACCTGAGCCTTTTTTTGAAGATATTTTGTATCCAGCTTTTCATAAGAGACGAGTGGGATCTCTGCACCTTTAAGACAGTCTTGGTGGTTAGTCACTGCAAGGAAGAGGTCAGAGTGTGCAGTAAAGCTTTTTTTGCTGGGTGTGCTCATAAATCTGATGCCAGAGCAGTTTCAAAGATGGCTGGAGAGTTCTTGAAACCCTGTGGGAGATGGGTCCAGGTTAACTGTTGTCCCCCTGACTGGGGGTGGTTCTCCCATTGGAAAGCAAAGATGGGTTGGCTCACAGGTGCCAACTGGATGCAGAAGAATGCATCTTTTGAGTCCAAGAATGAGAAGCAGGTTGTCTCGGCTGGTTTCAGGGCCAGCAAGGTATCTGGGTTAGGAACCACAAGGTGCAGAGCCACTGTTGCTTGACTGACTGCCCAGAGATCCTGCACTGGGTGGTTATCATCAGTGTCTGGCTTCTGAACTGGCAGTAAGGAAGTGTTCCAGGCAGACTGACAAGGTCTCAGAATTTCATAGTTTAAAGCCTCTGGAGGTGATGAGTTATCTCTTTGATCACCTGACTGACAAAAGCAGGCCCATTGTCTGACCCGATGCTGCTAGGCACCCCAAACTGGTGAATGATTTTTTTTTGGCTACTGCTCTTGATACCTCTGTAGCCTTTTCTGTGTGGGTGGGGTGTGCTTCCACCCAGCCTGTAAAAGTGCAGACCACCACCAGAAGGTACTGATAAGTTTTGCTTGGTTGGATTTCAGTGAAGTCTGTTTCCAGGTGTTGGAATGGGTAGACTCCTCTTTTCTGGATAAGTAGTGGGGGGCCTGGGCCCCTGTCCTGGGTTGTGTTGGGTGCAGCACAGGCAAGCCTTGCTGGCCAACTGAGTTAGAGTTGCCAATCGGGGAATGACTAGACGTTTCTGTAACAGTCCTTGTAAGGAGGTTTTGCCCAAATGAGTGATGTCATGTGCTAGCCTTACCAGGCCTGCGGCTGCCTTTTCTGATATCAGGATCCTTTTTTCCAGGGTGATGAACCAGCCTTTTTAGATTTCTTTAGCCCCTGTTTTATGGGCCTGTTCTCTTTCTGGTGGGCTCCAGCTTCCATCAAGAAGAGCTCAAGGTCAGCATGGGAATAGCAGTGTCCACTAAGTGGGGCTGAGAAGAGAAGACTTCGTCTAAAACCTCTTCACAGGAGTGGAAGGGCTCCCCCGCCTCTTCTGGTAAATATGCGGCCAGATTGAGAGACCTCATTGCTTTGACTCTTACCCAGGGGTTTTCACCCAATGAAGCCTGATATCTGGCCACGCATTCCCCAGTCATCGACTGACTGGCAGTGCCATTGAGCAGAGAAGTTACTTGGTGGGGGACCTGGAGCCTGATGTTCTGTCCCACAGTCAGTTTATCTGCTCCTTGCATTAAGAGGACTGTCTCGGCCAATGCCCAGAGTCATGGGGGCCAACCTGAGGCCACAGGGTCTAGCTTCTTGGACAGGTAGGCTACCAGTCAGTTCCATGGCCCCAGTGGTTGGGTTGGGAACCTAATCCTATGATACCCTTTTTAAGACTGACCTCTAAGGTTAGCACTGGCAAGACACTCAGGCCAGGTGGTCCCAAGTCCACAGATATTGTGGTGCCCAGTTTAGAAAGTAAGTCTCTTCTCAGAAGGGGGCCTGGAGTCTCTGATACATACAGAAATCAGTGTCTGAGCTGGTGTCCACCAACTATGCATTTTTGGGCCTCACAGAACCGGTACTTCTTTGTGTTCCTGGTGGCCCCTATAATAGTAATTGAGTCCTTAGTGAGCTGGCTGGTTGGTGTGGTCACGGTGGAAATGGCTGCCCCAGTGTCCAGAATGAAGTCTGTTTGGCGGCCTCTCCATCAATCTTGACCATGGACTCCTGAGGGCTGATCAGAAGGGAGCCTGGCCTGCCTCAGTCAGACTCATTTCCCCAGGTTGTGTTTGTCTCTAAAGGTTGTAAGCTTCCTTGGATTTGGTGGCAGCCGTTGTCACCTTTTCCTTTGTTTCCTTGTTAGGGCACTCATCTTTCCAATGTTCCTCTTCCTTAGAGTATGTGCATTGGTTCCTCCCAAGAGGGTTTTTCCATCCTTTCTTGTTGGGGCCCCCTCTCTGGCCTTTAGTCTCTTTGTCTCCCTCTTTGAGGGCCATGGCCAGGATCTTTGCCTTTTTCTCCAAATTTTTTTTTCCGCTTTTACTATTTTTTTCTTGGTTTGTCACCACCTTGGCTGCTATGCTAACTAGTTGGTCAATGTGGGCACCTGCGAAGTGTTGGCTAGGAGCTCTCTCACAGCTTGTGACTCCTCTGAGTATGCTGGGGTGTGCTGTCACTAGTTCAGGAGGTCAGAGTTGGTGAGTGGCTGATACACATTTTGCATGGGTCCAGCTGTGTATGACCCATCTGCGTGGGGTAGTGGAGGCCCAGGAATCTGAAAGATGGGGCATAGGGCTGCCTCCCAGAATTTGGTGACTTTCCCCAATGGCTGTCTTTTTGGGGGGCCATTGGAGGCAAAGGGAGATATTAAGAGGAAGCCTCTGGGTGACACGGTTGGGGTCCCATGCCTGATGCTTTCTCCTTTCCATTGGGGTCCCCTGCATTTAATTCAGATCTTGGGGAGGCCGGAGCAGCCGAAACATTGGTAGGACATATGATGGTGGATCTGATGACTCAGATTCTGAATGTAGTGGACCTCAAATGTTTTTATTTTATTTTGCTGTTAACCAAAATGGCTGCATACCATTGGGGGGCATGAAAACAGAGCCAGTCAGGTGGGCAGTCAGGATGTACCAGGTTTCAATGTAAGGAAACTGGTCTAGATGGCCTGGGTCCCCTACGACTTTGTCTGTGATGCAGGCGATAATAGCTAAGTCTAGAGTGCCCTCTGCTGGCCATCCTCCATCATAGGTGGGCTATTGTAATTCACAACAGACTCTCAGAAGCTTGGCTAGTTTCCTTTTAACCCCACAGTCACCAGAAAAACCTTTCCTAAAGTTAGCAAGCATAGTCTGGAGCATCGTTGGGTGCTTTGACGCAGAGGAGCCCATTTTATATGTGCCTGACCGTGGCCAGTGTAGAAGACAGACAAGGGAGGGGTGCCCCTCAGTGAGGGGCCACACAGATGCTCACCTGACCACAACTCCAGACAATGGAGCCACGTGACTTAGCCAGAATGGGTTCAGCCCAACAGGGTGACTTGCAACTGGACATTAGTCCAATCCCACCATAGACCATATGTCAATCACATGAAATCACAGGTGAGCACATTTGGACTCTGTAGCCTTTATGGGACATCAAGGGTGCCCAGCCATGGAGCCACAGATTCGAGCTTGAAATGCAAGTGACTCAAGCCGCTCATTCACACATCATTTACTCAGAGTTAAAAACCATCAGTCCCTATTTATTTCCCCTAAAACTTGGCTAGCCTTCAACCCAGTTGGCTGGAATCTCATTAGCCTCTAAACCAGTTGGCCAAAATCACATTGGCCCCAGATGACCGGAATCACATTGGTTCCAGAGGAAGGGGATACGCCACCTTGGAATCACATCAGGTCTCAGCCAGTCCCTTGTGAGGATCGGTCCATGACAGCTCCTAAACTGACTACCCTGGGGGTTCCTACCTGGCCTAGATGTCTGTTACAGGTCGTTTCATTCCACCAGTCTAAGGGCCCAGTCCTTGGCTCCACAGCCTCTTTCAGTTGTCTGGAAGGAGACCCCAGAATCACATCGGTGGTGCACACTTCCCGGTTACAGAAGCCTCCATAGGCTACAGGGCCAGGGAGCAGGGACCCACTGCTCAATGTGGCGTGGTGGTCTAATCTTGCTGGGGCCTCCAAAATGTTGCAAGAACAGTACAGATAGTATGACTGAACAGCGAGAATAAGACTCAAACCCATGTCGTTGGAGGAAAGGAAGGTTTATTATACTAGTGGGCCAGTACCTGGATAGCTCCAAGATGGCGCAGCCCCTGAGCTCAGAGTAGTTGAGGTTTTTATACTGAGAAAAGCTGCAGCAAACAAGCAGAGAGGGCGGAAGCAGACATGGCAGTTAGCTGTTCAAGGTTACAATATATCATGTCAGCACACCTGTGGACAAAGGCCGTCCACAGTTTCTAAGGAGACAGCTGGATGCAGGGGCCCCAGCTAAGAGGGAGGGCTTTACTCATATTTGTTTCTTTTCCCAGCTTTGATCTTTCTCTGGGTTTCCTTATCAGTCACAAAGCAGTAAGAGCTGAACTGCTGGCAATGTCACAATTGCCGGGTGAGCTATGTAACAATGGCAGCAGACAGGAAGCTGGGCGGCGAGGGGCGGGCCTTTCCCCAGCCAGCCCTCCTGATAGAACAGCTCTAGCTGGCCTGATTGGCTAGTGCTCAAGGTGAGTGACAGCAGAGCTATCCCTTAGAGGTAGAGAGAAGCAAAGAACACATTCCAGCCCAGCTCCACCCAACTCAGGATTCCTACTGGACACTGACCAAGCCACATCCAACACAATAGAGAAGTGAAGCTGAACTTGCTCCTGGCTCTCCACAGCGGCTACCCACTTCTTCTTCCTTGAAATAGGGTCACAAAGTGTAGAGAACTCCAGACTCTGGTCCAAGGACACAACACAAGACCTCAATGAAAGTGGACTGCTTAGGTCAGACCAAGCCACACTGGATCAGGAGGGTCAGCCTCATGTCACAGTTGAGAAACTTGGAATGAGGATGTGGGCTTCATGTCAAGGCTTTCCTCACCCCTTATCACTGGATGAGCCCATGTTCTGTCAAGAAAAGAAAAACGCACATGACTTCAATAATCTAATACATGGAGAGACTACTGGACTTAGATGGCAGCAATATTCCACAAAGGCATATAGGACAAAGAAGAGCAAACCTGAGCACCAGCCCAGACAAGCAGCCAGCCTCAGCCAAGGTCACAAGGAAACCCACCCTGAGAAGATTCAACACATGCCTGATTTCCAGGGTGAGAATGAACCCTCACATGGAGCGCACAGCTGATGGTTCCCTGGTGCTGAGTCAGGGACGCCTCAGGATGTAACTCTGAGAAGCCATCAAGTGAAGCTGCCTCCTCACAGTGTTGACTCTCTCCTCAATTCAACACCTTGATAGTCACCACAAGGTAATTCACTAGGGACACTTTAAGCTTCTGACCTAACTAAACTGTCAAATTCATAATCCCATTGTCCAGGGACTGCCAAGAGAGTATTTCTCTGACATTGACTATCACAGAGTTCCTTCATGTTACAGCCCAACTATGGCAACTCCATCCATGCCAAAATTAAAACCCCGTGCAGACCAGAGCATCACATCAACCACAGTCACCACCTCAGAAGGACAGAGCCTCCCAAGGCACCTGCACATAGGTATCCTGCCCTCCAATCTGTCCCCACTCTTCTGTCCCTGTTCTGAGCAGCTGGACACACGCAACTTCCTCTAACCATTGGTGACAGTCTATGCCTGGTGATTTACATGCTGTGCTTACCTTCTTGGTTCTGTCTTCCACTCTACTCTCATCAGCATTGACCCAACCTGTCATTTCTTCTTTTTCATTGGTTAATTTTTTGAGACAGTGTCTCCATATGTAGCCCAGGGTGGCCTCAAACTTCCTATCTTCCTGCTTCCACCTCCCAACTGTGAGGATTCCAGGTGTGCATCACCACACCTGACTCCCATTCAGTCATTTCTATAGCTAAATCCTGAGCATCCTAGAAATAAGTTTTTCTTTCACAACGTCTAACTGGCCTCAGGTTGAACCCTCAAGAGGTTCAATTAGATCCTTCTATTTGTCTTAAAATTATTTTATTAGCATATGTTATTGTACAAAGTTACATATGTATATTTCTGTATGTGTATATAATATGCTTCAATCATGTTCTCCCTCAGACACTCACTTTACCCTGTCTACCTCCTGTTGGCTTGTCCAAACTAGCCCCATCCCCTTTATACTCATTTCTTTTTATTCATAGATCTATCCTCTGAATATGACATTAAACATGGTATTTGTCCTTCCAAACTTCACTTAGCTGCCTTAGCACGATGATCTCCAATTCCATCCATTTTCCTGCAAATGGCATAATTTCATTCTTCTCATGGCTGATTAATACTGGATTGTGTGTAAGCATGTTTTCTTCATCCATTCATCTGCCAATGGACACCTAACTTGGATATGGTGAACAGTGATGCTCTAAACATGGGTGTGCAGATGTCTCTATTGTATCATGGCTTACAATCCTTCAGGAATATACCCAAGAGTGGATCACATGGTGGTTCTATTTTTAATGTATTTTGGAACATTCACACTGATTTCCACAGTGGCTGCTCTTGTTTACATTCCCTCCAACAGTGTCTGAGGGTTCCTTCTCCCCTGTGTCCTTGCAATATTTGTGGTCCTTGTTTCCTTGATGATATCCAATTAGACTGCGGTGACATGCAATCCTAGTGGAGTTTTGATTTGCATTGAAGGAAAAGGTAAGGAATGTTCAACAACTCTTCATGTGTTTATGGCCATTTGTACTTCTTGTTTTGAAAACTGTCCAATTCATTTGCCCCTTTAACTAGATTGTTGGTTCTTTTGATGTTTAATTGTTGAGCTCTTTATATACTCAGGATAATGATCTCTTGTGACACAAGTAGCTGGCAAAGACTTTCTCCCACTACGTAGCCTGTCTCTTTACTCTGATAATTGTGTTTTTTTTTTTTTTGGATGTGCAGAAGCTTTTCAGTTTGATGCTAACCCATTTGTCAATTCTTTCTTTTATTCCCGAGCTATTGGAGTCATGTTCAGAAAGTTGTTGCCTCTGCCTATCTTCAAATATTTTCCTTTGGTAGCTTCAGAATTTCAGGTCTTATGTTAAGGTCTTTGATCCACTTTGAGTTCATATTTGTACATGGTGAGAAATAGGGATCTGTTTCAGTCCAGTAAACTCGGATGTCCAGTTTTCCCCAACACCATTTGTTACAGTAGCTGTCTTTTCACCAACTTGTATTTTTGGTGCCTTTGTCATACAGTAGCTGCATGGGGTTACTTGTGCTTGTGGGACCTCTAATGTATTCCATTGATGTACATGTCTGTATATGCATATATGTGTTTGTGTGTATACAGTACACACACATATCATGCTTTTTATTACTAAGGCTCCATGGTATAATTTGAAATCAGTTATTGTGATAACTCAAGCTTTGCTCTTCTTGTTTAGAATTGCTTTGGCTATTCTGGGTCTTTGTGCTTCCATATGAAATTTGGAGTACTTTTTTCTATTTTGATGAAGAATGTCATTTGAATTTTTATGGGGATTGCATATTAGTTATATAGTGCTTTCAATAGGAAAGCTATTTCAGAAAATTAATTCTGTTAATTCATGAACATGGGAAGTCTTTGCCTGTTCTAGAGACTTCACCAATTTCTTTCTTCAATGTTTTATAATTTACATTGCAGATGTCTTTCTCCTCAGTTAATCTTACTACTAGGTAGTTAATTATTTTAGGCTCTGTGAATGGTATTGTTTCTTTCTTAGCACATCCATTATTGGTATACAGAAAAGCTACTAAGCCAGGTTTGATGTGTGCACCTGTAATCCCAGCTATATGGGAGGCATAGGTAGGAGGATCATGGTCCATGTCTGGCCCTAGCCAAAAACATGAGACCCTATTGGAAAAACAACTAAAGCAAAAAAAGGACTGGTGGTAAAGCGCCTGCCTAGCAATGGGAGGTCCTGAGTTTAAAACCCTAGCACCAGCCTTCTGGTGATTCCCACAGGCTGTGCTCCTACACTTACTGTAGAGAAAAAGTAGGCAAAGTAGACCTATCCCATATAAACCTCAGCCCAGTCCTATGCTTAGTCAATATTGTGAATGGGAGACATAGGGCAGGGAAAAAAATTTAAAAAGTAGTATGACACATTAAAAAACAGACTCCATGAGTAAGGATAGTAATTGATAATGTCTATTCTTATAAGTGATCAGAATAAATACCAATAAAGTGATCTGTAGAAAAAAAGAAATGCTATTGAGCTATGTTGACTTTTAACGTGTTTCATGGCCAAAAGTTTTATCTGATCTCAGAGTTTTCTGGTAGCAACTTTCCTGTCTTTCAAGTACACAATCAGCTCATCTACAGATAGGAATAATTGGCTCCTTCCTTTCTTATTTGTGCCCCTTTTATTTCTTTCTCTTGCCCTATTGATCTGGCTAAGAATTCAAGCTCTTTTTTGGGATTGTCTAGGCTTGAACTCAGGCCTTTATACTTGCAAAGCAGGGCTCTACATCTTGAGCCACACCTCCAATCTGTTTTGCCCTCGTTGTTATGGAGATGAAGTCTTTTGAATTATTTTCCCAGGGTGGCTTCAGACCATCATCCACTTCATCTCGCCTCGAAAGCAGCTAGGGTTATAGGCAGAAGCCACTGGTGCCAGCTCAATTACTATTTTGAAAAAGAGTGAAGAGAGTGGACACTCTTGTCTCACTTCTGATGTGAGAGGAAATGCTTTTAGTTTTCCCCATTTACTAATGTTGGCTATAGTTTTGTAATATATAGCCTTTACTATGATGAGGTGTGTCCCTACTTCTCATAGTCTCCTCAGGGCTTTTGAGTTCTGTTAAAGGCCTTTCTGTTTCTATTGAGATGGGTGTGTGGTTTTGTCCTTGATCCTAATTATGTGCTAATTACATTTATTTATTGATGTTATTACATTTGTTGAGCTATGCTTGCTTCCCTGGAACGGAACCAGCTCAATCATGTTGAATTCTGTTGGCAATATTTGGCTGAGAAATTTCACCTATGTTCAAGGAAATTGGTCTGTAGTTGTATGAACTCAGGTGTTTGAGGCTTATTCTACCAGTTGGGGCTCTACCACATTGGCCTCACCTCCAGTCCATTCCTTGCTATGGTTATTTTGGAGACAGGATGTCATGAAGTATTTATTGGTGCTGGCCTCAAACCATGATCCTCTGGATCTCCACCTCCCAAGTACCCAGGAGTATAGGCGTGAGTCTCTGGTGCTCTGCCTTTAGTTCTCTTTTGTAGTGTCCTTATCTGGTTTTGTTTCAGGGTAATACTGGCTTCCCAGACAAATTTGGTAGTGCTACTTCCTTTTCTATGTTATGTTATAGTTTAAGGATCACTGGTTTTAGTTCTTCTTTAAAGGTCTGGTAGAATTCAGCAGTGACTCTTTCTGGTCCTGGAGTCTTCTTTGTCAGGAGTCTCTTTATTACTGCTTCCATACAATTGTTCATTATAGATCTACTTAAGGTATTTATATCCTATCGGTCCTATTTTGGTAATTATACATGTCTAGAAATTTGTCTATTTTTTGAAGATTTTCCAATTTGTTGTAAAAAATGCTTTGAAAATATTTCTTGCTCATCCTCCGAATTTTGTTATGTGTTGTAATAGATTCTTTTCATCTTTTTGTCTTCTCTTTCTTTTCATTAGTCTGGCTAAGGGTTCATAAGTCTTGCTTATGCGTGTAAGAAACTATCTTATTTGCTAATGGCATTGTTATTTCATTCTCCGTTTCATTAATTTCTGCCCTGATCTTTATTATTTCTTTCCATCTATTCATTTTGTGTTTGACTCATGCTTATTTTTCTAAAGCTTCAGGTCTATAATTAGTTTCTTTCAGTTCTTATCTGATTTTTTTATAGGAGGCACTTCTAGCTACGCAACATCTAGGAATTCACCAGAACTTCACAACATCTTTGAGGAGAAAAATGTAAAGATAATAAAATTGTAGAAGATAATCTGAACTGAACAATTTACAGTCTTGAGTGTGATGACCTGATAGGATGCCAGTTCTCCCCCTAGTTTACATCCTAAATAGAACTGTATTAACAAGTACAGTGCACCAACTGTAAATTTGATTTAATTTTTTCCCAAAATCCCATCAGAAAAGTAAAAGTCAGTTCAGTACCATACTGAAGACATAAAAAAGCAGTAGAAGGCAGCTGCCTATCCCTCCCAGTTCCTACAACACACCACACAGAGAGTCATTTTTTGTGAGCCTAGTATACCATGCAGACAGATTAAATTTTTTTAGAAATTTCTCAGTTATTTAAAACTGAATGTAGCTAAAGCCAGCAGCACAATTCAAGGGGAAGAAGTGCACTGTTCTCGTTTGTGGTGAGAAAACTCCTTCTTTCCTAAAGATAAGTGTGACTTCAGTCTCACCAAACAAGACAAGGTATAATCCAAATGGATACAAGACACACATATGAAATATGAAATAAACTGTAAGTTATGGAGGAATATAGGAGAATAAATTTATGAAAAAAACAGGAGGAAAGACTTCTTTTTCTTTTTCTTTCCTTTTTTGGATGGAACTGCGGTTTGAACTCAGGGCTTTGCAGTCACAGAGCAGGTGCTCTACTGCTTGAACCACGTCTCCAGTCCATTTTGTCTGGTTATTTTGGAGAGAGGTCTGGAGAACTGTTTACCTGTGTTGTTCTCTAACTGTGATCTTCCTAATCTCAGCCTCCGAAGTAGGTAGAATTATAGTTGGGAGCCTCCTGCACCAACCAGGGAAAACCAATGGGAAGAAGAGGTGGAGAAAAGGAGATATGGCAGGAGTAAAGAGAGAAAGCAAGAAAGTGGGGAGAGCTGGGGCTCAGGAAAGAAGATTAGAGGCAGAACGAAGGAACTGTGAAGCTGGCTCAAGCTTTAAGTCTGGCCCCCACTACACACTGGCATTTACCTGGTCACTGACCCCCAAGGTATAGGAACTGTGGCACTGGAGGGCACCACCTGCTGCTGCCCACTATCATCTCCTGGGACTGCTTCTTAAGGAATATAAACACCCACCAAGGTCCCGGAATTACCAAGGGCACAGAGACAAGATAAACAAGTGTGGGAATCTGGGGATCTTAAAACCATTCTTCCAGGCCTTGAAACTACTGAGGCATATGAATAGTACATGAGCCATGCCCTGACAGGAGACCCAGCCAATATGGTGGACCTCAAGGCTACGTGGAATGGAAACAGGAGCATGCACAGTGTCCCCACAAAACACATTGGCTGGTGATGACATACATCATTTAAGGGGATCAGTAGATCAGAAACACAACCAGCTTTCCTTCAACCAGGAAATAAAATCTTTATAAAATCCACTAGACAAAGTGCCTCATGAGATCAACCTTCCTGAGCGCCCTCCCATGTGCATGGACCTTTTCCACTCTTTCCCTCTCTGCTTAAATAAAACTCACACATGCTAAAATATTCAGTCAATGAAAACTGATGCACTGAGACACAGAGAACAGGCTAACGGCAGCTGCTTTTCTACTGCTGTGCAGTATCTAGACTTAAGGTAAATGTGTTATATTGCTAATCTCTAAGCATAATTGCAGTTGGCCTATACTGTATCTCTATAGACACTCACAATGGACAAAGCCACAGGCAGTGCCCCCCACTGTCCCCATCCACACATGAGCAGCTGCTGACATAGGGCTGAAGAAACACTAGATATGGCCACAGAAATGAGCAGTGAGGACATTCTCACGACTTGCATAGTGACTTTCCATAGAGAAGGTGCACACACACCCCAGCTTCTACAGTGTCACCTCCCACACAGATTTCCTTACTGCCTTCATTTCCATGTGATGAATGGAAGACTTGACATTTGTCCACCTCCTGTTTCTCACAAACATATCAGCACATCTTTGTTAGAATTAGTTTTTTCCCACCTCCCTATTTGGAGCAGAGAGCTGGATTATTTGTCCTTTGTAGTCTACACAGCTGGTGTGTGAGGACACACAAAAGTTACACAAAAGGTTAACTTTCCAAGTGACCAAGGATTGCATCAAGAGTGATTGCATCAGAGATCCTGTCTCTGTCTCTTCCTAGCTTGCACTCTTGACAGTTTACCTAAGCACACTGCTCTCCTACATCAGGGATTGAAAGAGACATGGTCCATCACCAGCTGTGAACTAAATGAAGTCATATTTTAACTGAGATAAGAACCATTACAAAGTACCATGGTGTCATGTAGTTTTCACAGTTAAGACGGTAGAGGCTAATAAAATAAAAATTAAAAAAAAAAGACGGTAGAGGCTAGTGCTCCCTGTCACATTGTTTGGACCCTTGGTGTGGCTGCCAGTCTGAAGATGGTTTGGGTCTGACTGCCTTCCAGTTTCCTGAGAAATTTTTTGGTCTTCTGAGGCCACTTAGTGCCACAGTTCAGTCCATAGGTGACTGGCAGCAGCAGAGAACAGGACCTCTACATGGACTCTTCCTGGGAAGCTTTGCTAATCTGCACATCTTCTTTTTTTGTGGCACTGGGTTTGAACTCAGGGCCTCACACTTGCTAGGCAGTCACTCTTACAGGTTGAGCCACTCCTCCAGCACTCTTTTTGTGATGGGTTTGTTCAAGATGCAGTCTCAGGAAATACTTGTTCAGGACCAATTTTCAACTGTGCTCCTCATGACCTCTACACCTGAGATATTAGAATTACAGGTGTCAGCCACCGGCACTCAGCATAATGTTCCTCTCTGACATCTGTCTGTCCACTTGATTGTGACACCACCTTGTTGTGGTTGCATGGACTCAGATCCCTATATAAAGCACACAGGTCCCGATTTCAATGACGTTAGGACAGGAAGTGCCTGTAAAGTCTTGGTGGCACAGCCATCCAGACCTACAAAGGAGCCCAGAAACCTCTCCCATGGAGATGGCCTGAGTTTAGGCCACCAGAATGGTGGTGATCTCTGCCTCCTGACTATCTACGATCACAGGTATGAGCCACTAGCACCCAGTCTCACATGGGGAGTCTTAATACTACCTCCATGTTCACTATTTTGCAAACACTGAACATCTGTGTTACACTGAAGTACAGATCATCCAAAATGCACGAGAGAAGAAGTGTTTTGGAATCTAGATTTTGAAATATAGCAAATATATGATGATTCATCAGAGATGAGACTCAAGTGTACACATGAACCAAATTTATGTTTCCTATGCACCTTATACCCAAATCCTGAAGGTAATGTCATATAACATTTTTAATATTTTGGGGCATGAAACAATTTTGTGTACAATAAACCATCACAAAGTATCATTTATGGCATCATTTTTTGCTCAAAAAACTTTAGACTTTTTGCATTTTTGGGCTACAGACATTCAAGTTGTATGCAGACTTAGAGAAACGTTCCACAGAGGCAATGAATTTGAAGTTGGGCATATCTCTGTATCTATATCTATTGAGCAGATATAAACACACACACACACACACACACACACACACACACACACACACACACGTCTATATTTCTATAAGTAGCCAGGCCAGAAACTCACTTCATAGCCCAGGCTATCCATGAACTCGTGACCCTCCATCTTCCATCTTCAGTCTTGAAATGCTGGGATTACAGGTATGTGCCACCATGTATTTGTTTTGTTCACTTGAAATAGGTCCCACCATTACAAGTTTCCTGAGGATTTCTTTTCTCTTGTGCGTGCAAATTACCTTAGATATTTCTCAAGATTTTTATACTCAGCTTCAAAGTTCTGGTCTCCCCGCTTTTGTCCTAAAAAGTGGGCAAAAAAACCCCATTATGAATTATTACAAAATTATATAAAAATTATTAGTTTGGGTTCAAGTTCCCTTGAAACATGCCTAATTTATTCACCGAAGCAGTCCCTTCTCATGTATAAAATCTTTGACCATCACAGAACACCTTGTCCCTGACTCAGTGTAGGTATGATGTCACCTTAACTACAGCATGCAGGTTCCTGATGGTTTCCTGCATCACAGCTCTGTAGAGATTTTCCTGGAAAGGATTCAGCAAACTCCACTCCTCCTGGGTGAAGCTCACAGCCACGTCCTCAAAGGTCACGGACTCCTATAAGAGCCACATGTGTTCAGGAGGAAGGATGAGATGCATAAGACCTGGGGTCTAGACTCAATTCACAACAAGTTCACATGCTGTTGAGAGCTCCAAGCATGTTTTGTGTGATTTGGTGGTTCTGCTCTTTCTGTGCTCACTCACATATCTCAGTATTTTTGATACTAGATTTGAATACTTCCTTAAAGAAACAACAGAACACTCTCATTGGTGACTTCAAATGTGCTACCAGGTAATCCCTAAGTCTCACTGTACAGTGGCTCTGAAGCATGTGCCAAAGTCCTATGACCTACTACTCAGTGTACAGAACAGGGTTAAACTTGGCAGTTCTGAGACTTTTTAATAATAGACCTATGTGTTCCCAAAGCTCCTCCACCTTTCCTTGCACCTGGGAACTGGTGTTGGGATGGACCTCAGCCATCTAGTTGAGGAGAGGAGCTTAGTCTGCCTAAATAGTTCATGCAAGCAGTATGTATCTGCTTCACTTGCTTCCCTGTGAAAGTTTGCACTTTTCCCACATGATTACAAGAGCAAGCCTTGGTGACCAGTGTCCAGTGGTTCCCTGGGCACTGATTCTCTACTGAATTCCCTACACACAATATTTTAAGCCCATTGTCACACTGCTCGCTCGAGGCATGCAGCATATCCTCTGCAATTACATTAACAGCCAAGAGTTGAAAGCTTGAACCTAGTGTGAGACAGACCAAATTTAATCATTATGTAACATGAATGAATGGTAAATAATTGAAAGCACACAATATGGCAACCTTAATTGACAAAACATAAGGGTGTAGATTCAAATGTACCAGAGAAAAGTTTGCACGTTACCAACACAGAGATATGAAACTATGTTAAGACATGGGAATTAGCCTGATCTACTCAGTGCACACTGTATGCAAATACTGAAATGTACATGGTAGCCCACAAATATACAAAATTATGTACACATTAATAATTAAAAAAGACCTTGGTCTCATGACTGTAATCCTAGTAACTAAGGAGGCAGAGATCAGAAGGATGGCAGAAGACAGAAGAGGCAAATAGTTCATGAGACCCTATCGTCAATATAATGAGACCAAAATGGACTGGAAGTGTGACTCAAGCAGTAGAACACCAGCTTTGCAAGCATGAAAGTACTGGGTTCAAAAATTTAAATAGGAGAGCCAGGCATGCTGGCAGACACCTGCGATGCAAGCTACATAGGAGGCAGAGATGGGAAGACGGCAGTGTGAGACCAGCTTGAGTAAAGTGGGAGATCCTATCTGAAAAAAAATGAAAAGCGCCGGGGGTGTGGTTCAAGTGGTAGAACACTTGCCAAATGTGAGGCAACAGTGCAATACCCTCAAATGTCAAAACAAACGAGCAAAAAACTTAAATAGAGAATTTTCTCATAAGAAAAAGAAATGGACTGACAAATTTAAAGGTATTAAAATAAATGGAGACGAAGACAACCTAACAGAAGGGAAATATTTACAATTCATGCAATGAGAAAATGATTATTGCACAGAGTAAAAGTGAAAAACTATGGAAACAACAATAATGTATTGTTCAGAAGGTAAAATATCGTACGTGAAAAAAGATCTAGGCACGTGGTAATGAAGAGACAAGTACATGTAAAGTAGATCCCATTTCATACCTAGGTCAGAACTGAGCCCATGAGATATTACCAAGTGTTGAGGGTCATACTACACTAACAGTGGAGCAGATAAAGAGTTGCCTTGCTATTTCCTGTAAGTTGAACTTGACCACAACCCAGAGCCTAGTCATCTTCCTCAAGAATGTATTGTGCTATGGTACTTGGAGAGAGACAGAGACATGACAGGAGCACTATTTTAAAAAGTCAACCCAAAAACACCAAGTACAGAACCCCGGGGATGAGAACTGGTCCTGCCTCAGGCCCTGGCACTGCTGAAACATACCTTGGCAAAGAAAACACCCATCAGCCTTTGCAATTCTATTAAGACTCACTTGCTCAAAGTTCAAAGGAGGCAAAAGAAAAAGACCACTGCTTAGTAAAAAGTAACAGATAGTAAAGATAGGAAAGTTCACCAAAGAATCAGGGCATTGGGCAAGACTGGCATGAAACAGGCAGGACACCGCCTGGGGACACTACTCATTGTAAGGCCAATTATGAATCTTGATGAGGACTCCAAGAGAGTTTATATTGTTAGAAAGACTGAATCTTACTGGAAATGTTTTACTTATACTTTTGTGAATATATTTTATCACAAAATGTAAAGACTTAAGATTGAAAAGCACATTCTAATTTGGTGTGTTCTCTGTCCTGCAATGTAACAATCTGAGTTTGAATCCACAGATCTAGTAGAAAAAAACAGCAGCCCAAGTCAGAGCAGGGGCTCCCCAGCAAGTAGTAGGTGAGGTATGTAACAGCCATCAGAAAGCAGGGGAGGTGAGGGGATCAGAGCAGAGGAGACAGACTCAGGAGAAGGTGATTCATGACTAGTCATCCTGCTTAATGTGTCCTTGCTATGGTCTCAAACAAATGTGGTCGTGATGAGAACTCGGGACAGAGAGGACAGGCAAGGCTTACACTTACAGAACTATGGCCCAAAGGACAGTGGGCAGGCTTCTTACACAGGTATGCAGTGTCTTGAGAGCAACTCAAGCAGCCAGGCCTCGAGTTCTGCTGAGGTTAACAGGGAAGCTACAGGGAACACTCACTCCCATATGCAGAGGTGGGTGTGTGGCCTCGATCTCCTGCACCTTCAAGGAGGGTCCACCTTGGCTTTTGATCCCCTTGTTTGATAGCAGGCACAAAGAGAAGGGTGTCCAGGGTTACATGCTGTCAGCAAATGTAAGGAACTGAGCTCAGAAACTTCCACATTCCAACCCAGCATGGAAGGACATACAAGGGGACATTCCCGGCCATATAAGGAAACATCAAAGAAATTTTAAATCAGGAACTCTTCTGGACTCATCAGAGAACTAAGATCATGACACAAGCCACTGTCTCCAATGGAAGAGAGGACAGATAAAACAACAATATGTTAATGTAACAGATAATAACAGAGTCAGGGTCAGAAAACCTCCAGTGCCTCCAAAAGAAAGAACCACCCCAAAGCACAGCAAACTGAGATGTTGCCAGGCCCAATCTCTGGGGAGAGGGAAGCATGGATCCTCTGCGTCTCAGACTCCTACATTCAACTTCACAAGGGTGACAATGACAACCCAGCACAGAGACACAGGTGTTCTCAAAATGAAGCCAAACCATGGGTCTCTACAAGGCTGCTCTCCTCCCTCCGCCTCCACAAAAGCAGAGCACCTGTGAAAGAACAGCAGCTCAGATCAGGAGATGAATGTCTCATGGCTTACTGAAGAAGTCTGCAGGGTGCACCCTGAATATGGTACACTGATGAGGTAGAAAAATGTCTGGGAACACAGGGTATACTGAGAAACAGGGATGAAGAAATACAAACTCAGAGCAGACCTACAATTACAAGACTGATACAATAATCAAAAACCCACCATAAATAAAAGACAACTAAAAACCTGGCTCAGAGGACTGCGAAATCCCCACCACTTAAGGCAGAATGAACCCCAGCCTACTACTAATCTCCTCCAGAAACCACAGACAATGGGAGACTCAGATCCACTCAGAGCCAAATTTATGCTGACAGCAAAGATGAACACTAGGACAATTACAGCCAATGTCCCTTGTGAATGCAGGTGCACAATCCACAAATAAATACCTGCACCAGGGCACAGTAATCAAAATCCAGTGGAGCGGGCAGAGAGACAGAGACATAAATGCCACAATAGACCAACACGCTCAGATTCCTAAATGTACATGGCAGAGCAGTTTTGGACAGGAGGATAAAGATCACTCAATAAGAACACAGTAACCCATTTAAAAAAAAATGTTCAGCAAACTGGAAAATAGACATCCACATGGAATAGAAGCAGAATCTTGCCTTATTCCAAAATTAAAAATAAAAGGGATGTAATGTATCCCTTTTGTTTGATCCCAGCACAAAAAGAAGAAGAAAGAAGGAAGAAGAGGACCAAAAAGTGGGCCAAAGACCTAGAGGTAAAAGCTAAACTTTTCTATCCAACTATTAAAAGATATTAAATTAGGGGAGGGTAAGGAGCAAAGTACTTTAGAAATGATGGTGTGTTTCAAAGAACACCTGCTGTTAGGCTGAAGCTCAGTGGTAAAACACTTGCCTATCACACACAAACACAAATAAACTACCCCAGGTGTACTGAACTCAGGAAACAACACATTGCAGAACAGAGCGAAGTTCTACAGGAAGTGAAGCCCAAAGAAGATTTTTAGCCATCCGGGCTCTGTATTAAAGGAGCAAAGCCTGGAAGATGTGACATTTGTCTGTTTCCTCTTGCTCTTTCTTACCTGTTAACATTGAAAAAAAAACCCTGTCAAAACACTGGCTGAATATAAGCAAAAGGAATGGCAATTCAGTGACTACACCGTGAGGAATAAACCACCTGCAAACAGTACTTGGAAAATTCACAAAGAAATACACTACTTCTGCCATTCAGAGGAACAGAAGGGGTGGGGTGGGCTCAAGTGGTAAAGGACTGTCCTCGCAAGCATGAGGCCCTGAGTTCAAAGCCAACACTGCAATTAAAGAAAATCAACCCTAAAGAAAGACGAATGTTATTCCCCAACTACCAAATGGAATATTCAAATGCCCACTCCTTTTCTTTTGGGAGAGGCAGTACTGGGGTTTGAACTCAGGGTCCCACACTTTCTAGAAGGTGCTGGACCACATAAGCCACTCAAGCAACCCTTTTTGCTTTAGGTTTTTTTTCTAATGGGATCTTCTCTTTTTGCCCTGGCAGGCCTGAAGCATGATCAACGTATTTGCCCCTCCCTTGGAGCAGGAATGACAGATGTTTGCCACCACACTCAGCTTACTGGTTGAGACAGGGTTTGAACTGTGCTGGCCTTGTACCTAATCTTCCTGATGTCTGCCTCCTGAGGACCTGGGATTACAGACATCATCCACGGTGCTGGCCCTTGAATGCCCACTTTTCAATAATGAGAGAAAAAGAATGAATTTCATAAAACATGAAGGGCCACATAGAAAAAATTCTGTCAGCAATCATCAGTAATACAAGTTATAATCATACACAAAGGCTGACTGTCAGACAGTTTAAACTGAATAAATTATATTTTAAATGTTGACAAGTCAGACAATAAATGCACATCCAGGCGGGGACTGGTAGCTCACTGTAACCCTAGCTACTCTGGAGGCAGGGATCATGGAGGACCATGGTTTGAGGCCAGTTAGGACACATAGTTCGTGAGACCCTATCTCAAAAACACCCAACATAAAACAAGAGTGGTGGAGTGGCTCAAGTGGTAGAGAACCTACGTAGCAAGTGTAAGACCTGGAGTTCAAACCCAAGTGTCACCAAACAAAACAAAACACATCCATGAAAGGTCTAGTGATAGATTCAACAACTACTAAAATTTCAGAGTAAGTATGAATTTATCCATATCAAAAAACCACCTCTTATCTCCACTTTTTAAAAAATTTATATTCCATTACCACTTGGGTAAAAACATAACAACAACACTGTCAACAACAACAAAAAATAAACCTGTCATTTATTTAAAAACCAAACTTCTCCTGTGGTTTACTTCTGTAATCCTAGCTACTCAGAAGGCAGAGATCAGGAGGATCTCTGTTTGAAGCCAGCCCCAGGCAAATAGGTTATGAGATTAGAAAAGTGTCATCACTGAAAACAGGGTCTAGGGCTGGTGAAGTGGCTCAAGTGGTAAGAGTGCCTGCCTAGAAGAGCTTAAGGCCCCAAGTTCAAATCACTGTACCACCAAAACAAAAAACAAAACCAAAAATCTTGGCACGAAGTATGGTGACACGTACCTGTTATTCCAGCTCCTCAGGCGCAGAGGAGAGGATGATGACTTTGAAGGCCGCCTTGGCATAGGCACAGCACTTGCCTAGCGTGCAGAAGGCTTGTGCTAAATCCTTAACACCAAAAAATAAAATAAAATAAAATAAAATATAAATAAATCTCAATAACCGATTTTCTTTCTCAGACCCCATCCTTCTATCCATTTAGGATCTAAGAAAGAACATGGCCGTCTTATACTTAAATCCTGATATAAAATTCTGGTTTTGAGAACAGGTGATTTACAGAAACAAGATTCTGTAAGGCGAGTGAGGAGTGGGGCTCAAGGGGTCCAGCACCTGACTAGCAAGCACATGGCCCTCAGTACAAGCCCCAGTACAGAGAGAGAGAGAGAGAGAGAGAGAGAGAGAGAGAGAGAGAGAGAGAGAGAGAGAGAGAGAGAGAGAGAGATCCTCCAAAGGAAATAAGGGAGAAGGTCAGGGAAGCAGCTGCTTCACCCACAGTTCACAAGGGACCCAGGCTCGCAAGGTGAACACAAGTCTGACCCTAGACACCACTGTCACTGTGCAGAGACAGCCCAGGGCTTCACTCCCAGGGAGGGACGGAGGAAGCCTGAGCAGCCAGGAAACTTCATTCTGGGGCCTCCCCACACCTAGGGCTCCCCCATCCATGTTCCCTCCTCCCAGCAGCAGCAGGCTTTGTCCTACAGGCTGGGTTCTGACCTGAGCTGCCCTGTCCTTGTCCTGCCCTCACTAATGACGCCACATGTGTGCTGTTTACTGAACACCAACCAATTCTCCAGCACCCACCTGGTGTCGCACAATGCAATTCTGACACCAGAGAGACTTAGAGCAGTCCCCACAGCTTCCTGGCTCAGTGCTACCACACTGTCCCCACCGTAGATGCCAGGCCATAAGCTATGTTTGTTGTGTCTGCTCACCAGTCACCTTCCTCAAGTGATGGAGAGGTGGCACGCGGAGTCACCTCAGTAGCACAAATTCAGAAAAATGCTTAAAACGGGCGATTTTAAACAGCCAGACACTCCTTGTAGCTCAGGGACTGCCAAGGGCTTAAGGATGGCTGTGCCAGAAGATCTGAGACCACAGCAGTTTTTAAAATTATACCACCTTCCATATATACCGTCAAAATCACAAATCTTTTCTCCATATGACACAATGCAGTGTTCTTTCTCTTAGAACTTCCCTAATTCACACAAATTACACCCCAGCACATGACCCCACTTTTACTGTCACCCTAAGGACAAGTGACCTCAGGGACACCTCTCCTGTCCCCTGAGCTGATGCCGCCCCTCCACCGCCCTCCTCTCCCCTTCTTTCTCCTGTTTGCTCCTCCCTAGAAAGCACAGCCTGCTCGCCTGGCCCTGGAGACCCCGCAGACTTGCACTTGGGGCTGTCCCGCCTCTGCACTAAGCTCAGGTCCCCGCCATCTGCGTTTCATTTGTAAACACTGTGTGCACACAGGCCAAGGCCGACACCAACCACGTCAGAGGGACCCGCGTCTCCCCTTCCGCTCCCTTCACACGTGTCCCCGAGGACCCCTTTCCCATGCCGGCCATGCGGGGAGTCCACAAAGCTAGGGATTCCCCGCCTCAGGACCAGGTGGCGGTGGAGACGCCGCTTCCACCATCAGGAAACTCGGGGCGCTCAGGTCTGCGCCGGGATGGGGACGGGGACCCCGCGGCCACTCGGGAGCCTCCCGCCACCTCCGCCGGCACCGCGCTGTGGGGAGACGCGGGGCTGCGGACGCGGAGGGACGGGGGCTCCGGACGCGGAGGGACGGGGGCTCCGGACGCGGAGGGACGGGGGCTCCGGACGCGGAGGGACGGGGGCTCCGGCGGGGACAGTCTCAGGAGCTGTCCAATCAAAAGCGCCTGTGGTGCAAAGGCCCGCCCCTCATCGCTGGAGCTTCCTGTCAGGGGCAGCCATTGTTGCGTCACGGACCTGGCAGTTCTGAGGAGTCCTGCGGTTCAACTTCCGTCGCCGGTGTGGGACAACAAATTCCTTCAGTCAGGAATGGTGAGCGTGGGGCGGATTTGTGACACGGGCGAGGAGGGGTTGAGAGCGACTGGGCCCCGCGTGAGCCCCGGAGTCTGCGGCAGAGTCGCCGCCGGCGCCGCTCCGCTCGTCCCCTCGGTCCCCGGGCGGGGCGGGGCCGCAGCCGGGACCCCAAGTTCCTGTCCCTTGTCCCCGCCGGAGCCCCCTGTCCCTCCGCGCCCGCAGCCCCGAGTCTCCCCACAGCGCGGTGCCGGCGGAGGTGGCGGGAGGCTCCCGAGTGGCCGCGGGGTCCCCGTCCCCATCCCGGCGCAGACCTGAGCGCCCCGAGTTTCCTGATGGTGGAAGCGGCGTCTCCACCGCCACCTGGTCCTGAACCGGGGAATCCCTAGCTTTGTGGACTCCCCGCATGGCCGGCACGGGAAAGGGGTCCTCGGGGACACGTGTGGGGGAGCGGAAGGGGAGACGCGGGTCCCTCTGACGTGGTTGGTGTCGGCCTTGGCCTGTGTGCACACAGTGTTTACAAATGAAACGCAGATGGCGGGGACCTGAGCTTAGTGCAGAGGCGGGACAGCCCCAAGTGCAAGTCTGCGGGGTCTCCAGGGCCAGGCGAGCAGGCTGTGCTTTCTAGGGAGGAGCAAACAGGAGAAAGAAGGGGAGAGGAGGGCGGTGGAGGGGCGGCTCAGCTCACGGGACAGGGGAGATGTCCCTGAGGTCACTTGTTCTTAGGGTGACAGTAAAGGATGGCTCAGGTTGGGAGTGGTCACAGATCAGAGGCCTCGAAGGAGGAGGGGAAGTGTTTGCTTAGCCCGTGCCTGGTTTTGGCTTAGATTTAAAGGGGGAAGGGCAAATGTCTTCTTTGCACAATGACGGGACTTGGTTTCTTTTTTGTTCCTAGTTACCAGGACTGCAAGGTTCTGTGAAATTGAATTTGCAGCCATTCGGTTTTGCATCCAGAGAGTCAGAATGCAAACTGTGCCCATTGAGAAAGTCTGAGGGTTGGACCCAGAAACACATTTGGCTTCTGCCAGAGGAACAGATGGCTTATGAATGTCATAGTTTCTAAGAGTCTGTGGTATAATGGGAATGTATTTGATCTCTGTGCCCTCTGACCTCTGCCTCTGAAGTCCTAAAGCCCTTGGAGTTTGCAGAATGATAGGAGTGTGTTTGGTTGTTCATAACAAACCCTGTTCAGACAACGTCTGAATTCATAGTAAGGATGTTACAGTGCTGGAGACATAGACAGCCAGGTTGCGGAGCGGGACTGGTCCCCTCCAGGGCGATCACATGCTTGGGATTGGCATCTACAGAGGGGACAGTGTGAAGCACTGAGCCCTGATCTTGTGGGATCTGTTAGCGGTGGGTGGTGTCATTAGTTGTTGGAAACCCAGTTGGTGTTGCAGAATTGGTTGGTGTTGCGCAAACCCCGTGTGTTTTGTATCTGCATTGATGTCAGAAATGTCAGCACAACTCAGAGCCTTCAAGTGGCTCCTTTTGAGTGTTTGGTCTTTAGTAAGAATTGAAAATAGGCATCACAAGGCCTTTTCACACTTGGAGGAGAGGATAGTACTTGTGGCAGGCGGTCCTGGAATAACATTTCCTGGCTGCCCAGGTCCCCTTTACTCACTATCCAGACACAGGTGCCAGGCAACACCTGCACAGTGAGAGGGGTCTCCAAGCTTAGGATTTTTAAATTTTTTCCTTTGTGACAGGGTCTTGGCTGTGGTTCCCAGACTAAGTCCTCTGGCCTCACCCCTGTGTAACTGGGATTAGAGGCTTTTGAGTGTGGCTCCCTGTGATCTGTGGATGAAGCTGGCTGCTTCCCTTTTGATTCCTTTGCAGAATCTTGCCATAGCATTCCACTGACGTGAAGAACTATAGATTTTTCTTTCATGACTGGTACACACCAGAGATTGATTTTCTTGGTTGGAATCTCATTGGGTAGAATGATGAGGTCTGGAGAAGGAAACAGAATTCTTGAAGTTGCTTCATGCTCAGGTTAAGTGACAATGTAAGCAACCATGGATCACCCTCCATGTCAATATCTAGACAGTAATCAATTCTGGTGTCTCCCTGGTCTCAATCTCTTTGATATGCCGAGGTGACCGTCCATCCTAATTCTTTTTCCTCTTTTCAGAGACTAAAACATTTTAATATTTAATGTAAAATTCTTGCAGCATCCTCACATAGTCATAGTCTTGGAGTAAGCTCATTTCTTTACCTTATTAACATTATATACATTATAAAATAAATACGTGCCATACTGTAAAACAATACTTCTAAACCATATTTAGGCAATGACCTCCAAGAAAACAGACTTGAGACACCATGTGACATTTAGGAAGTTCTCTTTCCTTGCACCATTGCTAATTCTTGATGCTCTTTCTGGCTTTCCCCTGCAGTTATCACACAGCAGAGTTGGTTTGTGTTGCCTCCTTCAGATTTCCAAGAAGTCAGTAGTAAGGCTCCTGTGCCATTAACACTGTGCTGAGAAGCTTTCTCCCTGGTTATTTGTGTCCTTCACATGGGTTCCTGGCTGTACTCCTCCAGAGGAACTCACTAACCCCACAGCTTGTGGGCTTGGCTGGTTGATGTTTATTTTTTAACTTTTTTGACTGAGTATAGAGTATCAGGTTACTAGGTGGGCCTGCATCACTTGGCCTAGTCTTTCAGCAGGTTTCTGTGTTGGGTATTTTCCAGACAGGATCTTTTCAACAATTTCCTGGGCTGGGCTGTCTTGAGAAGAACGCGTATTGTTTATTTGTTAGAGGGAACATTCTGACTCCAGCTGATGAGTGATACTTTTGTGTCAACTCTGTCAGGACTACAATTCTTCCTTTACCAAAGGAAAGAAGTCTGTCCATTACTAATTGGATTGTGTGAAAGTCTTAAAATAGAATCATGGTTTTGTATGTTCCTTGCAGTCCTAGACGTGTTTTGCTGATGTAATTGGCGCTCAATTTACGGGTGCATGTACTCGTGATTGTTGTGTCTTCACAGAGCATTCACTGCCTCAGTGTTAGTTGATCCCTATTTTCCTTGTCATTTTCAGTGAGCTACTGCCTGATTAGTCTGAAATTGATACAGCATCTGCAGCTTTCTTTCTGTCAATGTAGAAGCGTATGTGTCCGCATAAAATTGCATTGAACTTATTTTAATAGGTATGACTATCTTAATTTAAAATAGTTACATACTTTCTCATTGATAAATTTGAATATATTACAAATGCAAACATGATATTTGGAAATATGTATGCATGGCACCTGGCTAAATTGAAATAATGAACACATACATTACATCATACACTTACTTTCTGTTGCGATAATACTCAAAATCTATTTCCATAGTGATTTTCCAGAGTATAAAACATAGTTATTAACAACCACTACTTTCACAGTAGATTTCTTGGATTTATATCTAGTATACAACAGAAATTTCTAGGTCTTTGATCAATGCCTCACTACTCTCCTTTCCCCTTTCTGAAATGGCTTTTTGGTTTTTGTGGTTTTTATTGTTTTTTTTTGTTGTTGTTGTTTAGTACTGGGGCTTGATATCAGCCTTGTGCTTCCTAGGCAGGCTCTCTACCACTGGGTGATAGGGTTTGGAGGCAAGATTGTTCCAGAGGAACAGAGTTCCAAACTGGCTATTTCTTCCTGTTCCCCTTGCTGAGAGCAGGAAATGATTTTTCTCTGCTCTTCTTGGTGATAATGGGCATTTCTGGAGGTAATTTTTACAGGTAAGTTAGGAATTATTCATACTTGCCCACTGGAGATTTTACCTCTCTAACTTAGCAAATACATTTATCCTTCAGCAACTAATCAGCTGCAGTTTTGGTTTTCATACCCCTGCTGCCTTCTACAGAAGTGTCTTCTGATAGATTTCATGCAGCAAGTTATAGTTCTTTCAGTATTAGAGTGGTGGGATTTTCCCCAAATCCAATTGCCTGGTGCCTCCAGAGGTAACACATTGTGAAAAGCTGTCCTCAAGCCACACAGTCTGAGGATTGGCAGTATTAACTCCTTCAGCACACTGGACAGTGGGACTTTATCACAGGTACCACAGATTTGTATGGAAAGAGATGTTAATGGTGATGGGCTGTGCATGTTACCACTTATACTGACAAATGAGAGATGGGCTCCTCCTACTTAGTTGTGGCTTTACTGTACAGTTCAAGTCACAATTTGAGACAGAGTGTGTGGGGGCTGAATCTGATTGCCAAGTCCCAGGAAGGATACCTGTGTGGAGTCTGCAGCATGATTTGACCCTCCAATGACCAGTGCTATCAGTCTCATCCTGCTTCATGGTAACATGTGGGTGTTTCAGGCTCCAGTGACCTTTGAGGATGTGGCTGTGAACTTCAATGTGGAGGAGTGGGCCTTGCTGGATCATTCCCAGAAGCAACTCTACAAAGAAGTGATGCTGGAAACCTTCAGGAACCTGTCTTTTATAGGTAAACATGGCTTCATTCTTTTACTTCATGAGTAGAACACAGTGTTTCTTGGTTGTCAGTGCTGCCCAGTGATTTGGAAAATGGTAATCATCCATGGTGTTGTGTAAGGGAAGCATGGTTGTGGTGTACCATGAACAGAATCTAATGATCATTTTATAATTTTACAGTCACTCAAGGTGTTTTTTCTGTGTCTAAATTTTAGGAATAAAATGGGAACACCAGAACATTGAAGAACAGAAGAAAATTCTGCAAAGAAATGTCAGGTAATTCATACTCAAAAGGATAGCAATGTCACTGAAGAGAATCGTTGTATGTCAGGAACATTTAAAACAAGCAAAGGAAACTGAGAAGCCAAATACAAATTTATTTATTCTTGGAAAATTTCTTCTAAAATATGTACTTAATATGTTCAGAGTTTGCAAAATAGTTCAGTAGAAATTGTATTAAGACAACATAAATGAAAGCTCAGCATGATGGCTCACTGTTACATCCTGGCTCTTCAGGAGGCAGGAATTGGGAGGATTGTGATTCCAGGCCATTCCGGATGAAAAGTTAGCAAGATCCCATCTCAACCAGTAGCTGGGCATTGTGGCACACACCTGTCTTCCTAGGTAAGCGGGAAACATAATAGGATCACATTCCAGTTGTCCTGGGCAAAAAGCAAGACCCTATCTCAAAAAATAACAAAAGCAAAAATGGCTGGGGATGTGGCCCAAGTTACAGAGGACCAGCCCAGCAAACTCAACGCTGTGAATTTAAACGCCAGTACTGCCCCTTCAAAAAGCAGAAGACTATAAAAGAGAAACAGGTCAGATGACTATCACTGTGTTCATATTAACCAACTGAGCTTAGCCCTGGTGTCTTATGTCTGTAATCCTAGCTACTTGGGAGGCTGAGATCCGGAGGTGTATAATCAAAGGCCTGCCCAGGCCAACAGTTCTTGAGACCCTATCTCCAAACTAGCTAGTACAAAATGGATTTGTGGTGTTGCTCAAGTGGTAGAGCTCCTGCTTTACAAGTAGAAAACTCTGTGTTCAAACTCCAGTTGCACCATAAAATAAAAAATAAAAATAAAGATAATAACCATCTGCCTGATCACCTTGCAGATAATTGAGTCCACAAAACCTGGAGAAGGCCTAAAGCCCACACTTTTCTTTCCAATATTAAAAATGGAAATCCTGTCATCCTCGCTATCTCTGTAGAGATGACCCACTTTTAGTCTAGTGAAAGTGTATTCCTTTCCTAAAAAGGAAAAGAATCACTCACTTTCACTACAGTTCCACATCTTTCTTGAATTCTTCTCTCGCCAGAGGTCTGAGGTCTGCTTCTGCTTTCATAGTTGTCCATATTTCTTTTATTTTTTTCTTGGAAAAACATTAATTTTTAATTAAATTTGGCAAACTGGATGTCCATATTTCGTGATGATACATTGCTCTCTACCAGTTCTTTTTTTTTAGTTTATTTTATTGTTCATATGTGCATACAAGGCTTGGGTTATTTCTCCCCCCTGCCCCCACACCCTCCCTTACCACCCACTCCACTCCCTCCCTCTCCCCCCTACCCCCTCAATACCCAGCAGAAACTATTTTGCCCTTATTTCTAATTTTGTTGTAGAGAGAGTATAAGCAATAATAGGAAGGAACAAGGGTTTTTACTAGTTGAGATAAGGATAGGTATACAGGGAGTTGACTCACATTAATTTCCTATGCATGTGTGTTACCTTCTAGGTTAATTCTTTTTGATCTCACCTTTTCTCTAGTTCCTGACCTCCTTTTCCTATTGGCCTCAGATGCTTTTAAGGTATCTGCTTTAGTTTCTCTGCATTAAGGGCAACAAATGCTAGCTAATTTTTTAGGTGTCTTACCTATCCTCACCCCTCCCTTGTGTGCTCTCGCTTTTATCATGTACTCAAAGTCCAATCCCCTTGTTGTGTTTGCCCTTGATCTAATGTCCACATATGAGGGAGAACATACGATTTTTGGTCTTTTGGGCCAGGCTAACCTCACTCAGAATGATGTTCTCCAATTCCATCCATTTACCAGTGAATGATAACATTTCGTTCTTCTTCATGGCTGCATAAAATTCCATTGTGTATAGATACTACATTTTCTTAATCCATTCGTCGGTGGTGGGGCATCTTGGCTGTTTCCATAACTTGGCTATTGTGAATAGTGCCGCAATAAACATGGGTGTGCAGGTGCCTCTGGAGTAACCTGTGTCACAGTCTTTTGAGTACATCCCCAAGAGTGGTACTGCTGGATCAAATGGTAGATCAATGTCTAGCTTTTTAAGTAGCCTCCAAATTTTTTTCCAGAGTGGTTGTACTAGTTTACATTCCCACCAACAGTGTAAGAGGTTCCTTTTTCCCCGCATCCTCGCCAACACCTGTTGTTGGTGGTGTTGCTAAAGATGGCTATTCTAACAGGGGTGAGGTGGAATCTTAGTGTGGTTTTAATTTGTATTTCCCTTATTGCTAGAGATGGTGAGCATTTTTCATGTGTTTTTTGGCCATTTGAATTTCTTCTTTTGAGAACGTTCTGTTTAGTTCATTTGTGGTGTGGTGCTGCCTGTCTGTTCATGGTTAAGTTGGGTTTCACTTTCTGTGTGCAGAATCCCTTGCAGGATCTTTTGTAATGGTGGCTTTGTGGTCACATATTGTTTTAGTTTCTGCTTATCATGGAAGACTTTTATTGCTCCATCTATTTTGAATGATAGTTTTGCTGGGTAGAGTATCCTGGGGTTGAAGTTATTTTCATTCAGTGCCCGGAAGATCTCACCCCATGCTCTTCTTGCTTTTAATGTTTCTGTTGAGAAGTCTGCTGTGATTTTGAGGTGTTAACCTTTGCATGTTACTTGTGTTTTCTCTCTTACAGCCTTCAATATTCTTTCCTTAGTTTCTGAACTTGTTTTAATGATGTTATGTCGTGGGGTAGTTCTATTTTGATCTGGTCTGTTTGGTGTCCTGGAGGCCTCTTGCATCTGTATGGGAGTATCTTTCTCTAGATTTGGGAAATTTTCCATTATTATTTTGTTAAATATATTACGCATTCCCTTTGCTTGCACCTCTTCTCCTTCTTCGATGCCCATTATTCTCAAGTTTGGTCTTTTGATGGAGTCGGTGAGTTCTTGCATTTTCTTTTCACAGGTCTTGAGTTGTTTAATTAATAGTTCTTAGGTTTTTCCTTTAATTACCATTTCATCTTCAAGTTCTGAGATTCTATCTTCTGTTTGTTCTATTCTGCTGGATTGGCCTTCCATTTTGTTTTGCAGTTCTGTTTCGTTCTTTTTTCTGAGGTTTTCCATATCCTGGCAGTTTTCCTCTTTAATGTTGTCTATTTTTTGCCCTGAGTTCATTTATCTGTTTATCATCGTGTTCTCTGTTTCACTTTGGTGTTTATACAGTGCTTCTATGGTTTCCTTTATTTCTTCTTTTGTTTTTTCAAATTCTCTATTTTTGTTGTCTTGGAATTTCTTGAGTGTCTCCTGTACATTTTGGTTGACCCTATCCAGTATCATCTCTATAAAATTCTCATTGAGTATCTGTAGTATGTCTTGTTTTAAATTATTCTTGTGGGCTTCATTGGGTCCTTTGGCATAGTTTATCTTCATTTTGTTGGAGTCTGGATCTGAGTTTCTGTTTTCTTCATTCCCCTCTGGTTCCTGTACTCATTTTTTGTTGTGGGGAAACTGGTTTCCCTGTTTTTTTCTGTCTTCCTGTCATCGTCTTTGGTGTTGTTACTGTCCCTGTACTGTGTGCAATTAAGTATTTTCTAGCTTGTAATAATAACAATGGTAATATTTAGAATTGAAGGGTGAGCTGAGATGGAAAGCAAGAAGTTAAAGAAAGGGGGAAAACAAATACACAGACAAGAAGGAGAAAACAGAACAAGGTATCAGACAAGAAAATTTCAAAGGTATAAATAGGGAGTGTTAGTGTACTAATTGACAGCAAGCTGAGTAGACATTAGAGAGACAGAGAGAGGATTGAAAATCAAAAAAAAAGATAAGAATAAAAATAAAAAATAAGTAAATGAAGAAATATCTATTTGTAAAAATGAATTAAAATAAGATGAAAAATAGAAAAATTAAAAAAAAACCCAAAAAACCAAAAAACCAAAAAACCTCCAAGTTCAAATGCAATGAAGTTTTAGTCTTAATAATTTGGGTGTCCGTCTCAGTCTCCAGTTTTGGAGATGGTGCCTCAGATGTTGTTCTGTAGTTGTCTCATCAAAGGGGACGCATAAAGTAGAAGAAAACTACACACATACACCAAAAAAAAAAAAAAAAAAAAACCCCACCAAGTGTCCCAAGTTCAAATGCAATACAGTTTCAGTAAGTTTTTCAGTATGCAGGTGTAATTTGGTTGTTCTCTCGTCAAAGGTAGGGAGAAAAAGAAAAAAAAGAGTCTGGAGACAGTTCTGAGAATGGTATCTGCAGCTGTGGCTTGCCTGCCTGCTGCTGTCAGCCTGCTGTTGCTGGCAGTGTTATTTATGCAGATCTCTGGGGTGAGCTTAGCACTCACCTGGCCCGCAGACTTTGTTTACTCAGATTTCTCCTGTGTGTGAGCCTCTGCTACAAGCTTTCCCCTTTCCAAGCACAGTGGGAAAGGTGGCACTGCACCTGCGTTGTCAGCCCTGCGTGTTTATTTACAGTTCATGTGGGAGGTGGGCCTCCCCCCCCTCCTGTGGAGTTTTCCTCCCACTGCCACTTTTACAGGCTTTCCTGCTCCTGATTACTGGGCGGTGCTGCTGCTCCTGCCAGCCGCCATGTTTGTTTACAGTTCACGTGGGTAGTGGGTCTTCCCTCCTCTCCTGTGGAGTTTTCCTCCCTCCGACACTCTCACAAGCTTTCCCGCTCCTCGTTGCTGGGCACGCACCCCTGCTCTCGCCAGAGCCTCTCCGGTCCGCCGGGCTTGTTTATTTACAGTCTCGGGAAGGATTCCCTTCCCCCAATGTTCGGTGCTCAGGGTGCCCCACCCTCTTTCCCATGTGTCTTTATTGTTCTTGTTGCTTATTACTCTGTTTCTATTTTTTCCCCGGGTGGAGGTCAGTCTGTCCAGGGGACTATGCTGCTCTGGCCCAGGCTTGTCTGTGGGAGTACTGTGGTACTGCGAAGCTCACCTGGTCTGCATCTTCCCAAGCCGTCTGGGCGTGGGCGACTGGTGGCCCAGGGGCCCTCCTGGTTTCTCCGTTTAACGTGATGTAGAGATTCTCTATTCTCTGTGCCGTTTGGAGGTGTGGAGGGGTCGAAGTTATGCCTCTTCTCAGTGATTATGCCTAAAGTGTGTCTCCAGTGTCTCTCCAAGATTTCACTATAGGAGGCTCGCTTTCTGCTTCCTCCCTCTAGCCGCCATCTTTAATCCCCCCATATATCTTGAAGAGTGTGAGACAGTGAATACACTCCTGGCACAAAATGATTCTGGTGTCTTCCAACACTGGTTAACTCTCATGCAGAAGGGGTGGTGTACACCCCTAATCATAATGCCTAGGTAGTGGGGTAGGAGGATCAGGAATGTGACACTGGTCTGAGCTACAAAGTTGCCAGAGGGCTCATTCCTTCCCATTCTGGGAATCCTTTCAAGAGGCATTTGGTATCTTAAAATGCATTCAATCCTCAAAATGTAAATCCAGTAGCCCACCATAAACAGAAAGCTGTTAATAAGCAAGTCCTTAATATGCTTGTCACTTTTTTTTTGGCAGAAGTCAAGTGGTGGAGAGAGTCTGTGAAGGTAAAGAAGGAAGTGAGTGTGGAAAAACCTTCAGCCAAAATCGAGAATGTACAATGAAGAAGAAAATTCCTTCTAGACTAAAACGTCCTGAACCCCATGTGTGTGGAGAAGTGGGTACTGTTCATTCATCCCTTAAGAGACACAGTAGGTCTGATTCCAAACACCGACTGTGTGACTTTCAGAAAAATGGGAATAGCTGCTATGACTGCCAGAAATGTGGTAGAACCTTTAGGTGTCCCAGTAGTCTTCAAAGACATGAAAGCATTCACACTGGAAAGAAAGTCTATGAATGTAAGCAATGTGGAAAAGCCTTCAGTTCTCGCCACTGGGCTGAGAGACACATGGTGACTCACAGTGGAGATCGGCCTTACAAATGTAAGCTATGTGGGAAAGGATTTCCTTATCCCAATTCCCTTCGGACTCATGAAACACTTCACTCTGAAGAGAAACCCTACAAATGTAAGCAATGTGGGAAAGCTTTTAGGAAAAATTTTTCCTTTCTATTACATGAAAGAATCCACACAGGAGAGAGACCCTATGAATGTAAGCAATGTGGGAAAGCTTTCAGGGATCGTTGTTCCTTTGTGTTACATGAAAGAAGTCACACTGGAGAGAGACCCTATGAATGTAAGCAGTGTGGTAAGGCCTTCGCCCATTCCAGTCATCTTCAAGCACATGAAAGAATCCACAGTGGAGTAAGACCCTATGAATGTAAGCAGTGTGGTAAATCATTCACTTCTCACCACAGTGCTCAACGACATATGGTGACTCACAGTGGAGACTGGCCTTATAAATGTAAGGTGTGTGGAAAGGGATTTCCTTATGTCTATTCCCTTCGAAATCATGAAGTCAGTCACACCGAGAAGAAACCCTATGAATGTAAACTATGTGGGAAAACCTTTAAATACTCTGAATCCTATCGAAACCACCAAACATCGCACACTGGAGAGAAACCTTACAAATGTACGATATGCGGGAAAGCCTTCAGCTGTTCCAGTTATATTCGAAATCATATGAGAACCCATGGAGCGAAGTCCTATGAATGTAGTGAGTGTGGGAAAGCATTCACTTACTCCAAAAGTCTTCGAAGACACATGAGGACTCACAGGGGCGTGTAAGTGACGTGAGGTTGCTTTCAGGTGTTCCAGTTCCTTGCATAAATATGGAAGGATCCCAGTGGAGAATAAGCCAATGAATGTGAAATGTGTGGTAAAATCTTCAATCATTTCAGTCATAAGTACATAAAGGGATTTATATTTATCTGCAACAATTTTGAGAGACAATCCATTGCAGTTCTGTTCAGAATCTTTAAAGAGTCTTGGCGACAACTCCTGCACAGGCAACGTGGGAGGGCTTGACCACCTAACCTTGGTAACACCTGTGGGAAGGCATGGTGGAGAGTAAGCCTATGGCTAAGCAGTGCAGGAGAGCTTTTAGTCCCCCACATTCAATTAGAAGCTATGAAATCACACACAGCAGAGAAACCTTGTATGTCAACACTGTGCAAAATCTTCAGTTGGACCACAGCCTTGCAACAACCTGGAAATCTGCACACTTAGTCCAAATCCTTACATGGGAGAAACACTTGAAGGTTTTCTGGGTTTACAAATACTTCCACAGTTATGTGGAGAAATCCTGTAAATCTAGGGAACATGAAAGCCCTGTGCAAATTCCTCCACCTGTATGTGTCCCCTATGTCACAATTGCAGAGATGTAGTCAAAGTTATGCTGTCTTTCTAGTGGCTTATTTGTCATATGGATCACTGAGTTGTGGATTGCTAATTGTCACTCTCACAAAGGTTTAATGTGATGATGCTGAGGTATTAAGTAATAGCACATGAGTTAAGTTTGAAACTGTTTTTCATTTACTTATTTTTAGAGGTGACATTTAGTATAATGTCTGTATTGGTGCAGAAGTTCTAGGCACAGTCAGTGTTTCTGTCTCAGCCTCCTGAGTAGTTGGGTTTATAGGTGCCCACTGTTATGCCTGGGGAGTCCATGAGTTTAATAGGTTTGCTTTTGTCTGTCTGTCTGTCTGTCTCTCTCTCTCTCTCTCTCTCCTCTCTCCCTCTCCCTCTCTCTTTTTTTCTCTCAAGTCTCCCCATTCACAATACAGAGCAGGCATAGCTGAGGATAGAATAAGTTTTTATGTGTGCTCAGCAAACCACCTGACACAGAACTGCCCTCTCAGCACCTAGGTGTTTTTTTAATGTGTTCGAATTGATACTTTTCATTACATAGTCACAGTTTTTATCATGATAGTAAGTCCTTTTCTGATTGTACCAAAAGCTGACAGCTTCTGGCTGCCATCCTGTCAGTGTCCACAAGGATGGCGTGTTGTCAAAGTGCATGTGAAAGTTGGAGGGCTAAATCTGCCTAAAAGCTTAAGGAGCTGTGATGTGCCAGGAAGAGGCTCCCAGCAGATCTTCTAAGGACTCATGTGGCTTCAGCTTACTGACTGACCATCAGGGGAGCAGCTGCTTCTCTAGTGGTGCCGGGAGCAGGTGGAGCAGGTTCTGTCCTTGGTGGTCATGACAGTTTTTACCTAGAAGTCGGAAAGAATGGCCTGTATTTCAAGCTCACCTCTAAGAAGCATCAGTGAGACCTGCTAATGAAAAGAAAGGAAGATTAGTCATTTTGACCTTGTTGTGTTCTTTACCATGTTTAGACATTTTTAGACGTGCCATCATCTTCTCCTTGTGATGAGGTGAGACAGCTGCAGTACTTTGGACCTGTTTTGCTATTTTTATTATCTGAACACTGCAATATTTCCCAGAGCGTATCAGAGACTGTTTTCCATGAAATATGTAAGTTAAAATATCTTTAGACCCTTGTTTCATAATAAGATTTAAAATACTTAATAAAAAATCTCTTATGATTCATATGAGGCCCATCTTTAAGGTAAATTATTGACACAGTAACAAACCTAGCAAGGAACAGAAGCGTCACTATTTCCAAAAGGTCTACCTTGCTCAGATAACGTGTTAGTGATGCTAATTTGTCACAATCCCTCGTGCCGAAGTTGCAGACTCAAGTCAGCAGGGGTTCACACAGAATCCGGGCACTCAGAGCTCTCAAACATGAAACAAAGTCTTCAGTCCTTACATTTTTATGAGGAAAGACAGATGGGTACCAAGTGAGAAAGCTTGTGTGTACGATGGGAATGAGGGCTGTGAAGTAAGGCAAATCACAAGATGCGACACAGTAGTGAAATGGAGAGCGATGCTGCTGGCTCTGATGTAATCTCCAGCAGTACCTTGAGCAAGTGGTCTAGTGGGGCAGGGACAGCCTGTCTACCTAAATTTGTATACTGGGACCACAGGACCATCTTTGTAGCAGCAGAAGAGAGAAACTGCAGTGCACCAGCCTACAAGCTGGCAATAAGAGGAAGCTTAGTGGTTTTTCTCAACAGTCCCCACCTGCAGCAAGAATGCGCTGAGAACAGAGGTGACAAAACCAACCAAGAAGAGGTTCTAAATGCATAGTCTGGGGACAGTGAACTTGAGAAGGGGATGAGAGGAGTTGCTGAAAGAGCAATAAAACCAATGAAATGGAAATAAGGGCTTTGAAGTAAAGTAAATCATGAGATGTGAGATAATTGGGAAACTGGGGATGTGGTCCTATCTTGTAGGAACATTGGAATCCTCATGGAAGACAGCACCATCCATCTGCAGTAGTGTTTCAGGATTGGGCAACGTGGATGTAGAAAGGGGAGTGACGCAGCCCTGCCTTCCTGGTTACTGGCCAGAACTCCTGTGAAGATAAAAATGGAGGTGTGCGTCATCTTAGTTTTGTACAGGTCCAAAGTGTTCGAGTATGGCAAACGGTCCAAGAATGACATACATTTCAGTCCTGAGACTTGTTGCACTGGGTCACAGGTATTTGCTTTCTTTCTATATCTGTTCAGCAGCCTTTGAAGTGATTTTAAACTCCTATTCATGTTTGGTACTGACATTTTGCTGTTGTTAGTGTGGCTGACACAACAGTACCCCTTTCTCAGTGATCCAAAAGCCACCATTTTGTAGTCCTCAGGTATCATCTCTAGATGCATAATCTTCCTTTCTGTTACAATACAGGAGAAAAGAAAACAAGTTTTTGTTTTGTGAAAAAAAAAATCCCAGGAAAACCAGTATGTGTCAATTTTTTCCTTGGTTGCTTAGGTTTTTTGTGGGCTGGAGAGGTTATGTGTTTCAATACTATTAGGAACTTATTAGCTCCATAGTCGTAAGATCCGTCATTTATAAAGTAGAGAAATTCATGACATGGTTCGGTGTCTGGTGAGCACCCTGTCACTGGTTGCAAGATGGCACCTACTTTTTCCCAAGTTGAGGTATTGCTATGTCACAGGAAGGAAGGCTGAGGGGAAAGAACAAAAAGGGAAGAAACCCCTCAGTGCCTTTTTCTTTTTCTTTTTTTTTTTTTTTTTTTGAGACAGGATCTCCCTGTGTAGCCCATCCAGCCTTGTCTTCATGCCTCAGCCTCCTGATGACTGGGGTCACAGGAGTGCTCTGCCACACCTGGCTTCTTGTTGTTGATATTAATTCTCCATTTGACTAGAGATATTGTCTGTCATCTCATGTCTATCTGGAGGACTCATTTCAGTGTTTCTTGCAGGGCAGATGCAGGGTAGCACCTGCCCTGCAAGTGGTCACTCAGCTTTTTTTTTTTTTTAACCTGGAGACTTCTTAAGTTCTCAGTCATGTCTTCAAAGACAATTTCGCTAGACAAAGACTTCTGAATTAGCCGGGCACCAGTGGTCACATCTGTAATCCTAGCTACTCCAGACACAGAGATCAGGAGGATCGTGGTTCAAAGCCAGCCCCAGGCAAATAGTTCATGAGATTCTATCTCAAAAAACTCCTCACAAATAGGGCTGGTGAAGTGGCTTGAGGTGCATACCCTGAATTCAAACCCCAGTACTGAAAGAAAAACCCCTCAATTGACTGTTTCTTTTTTCTTTAACAAATTAAAATTATCAATCCAGTACCTTCTAGCATCTGGAGATTGCTGTTCAAGGCCAGCCCACGCAAAAAGTTACCAAGACCCCATCTCGACAAAACAAGTCAGTCCAGGTGGCATGCATCTGCAATCCAAGCTACACAGGAGCCATCCCCACAGGAGGATCATGGTCTTCAGGCAGACCTGGGCAAAAACCAGAGACCCTATCCAAAAAACATCCAAAACTCCCAAAAGTGTTGCGGGCATGATTCAAGTTATAGAACACCTGCCAGGAAGCATGAGGTGGTGAGTTCAAACCCCAGTACCATCAGTCACTAAAATCTAAAATAGAATGGGGCAGTAACAAATACATATTCATCAGCTTAGCACTCTGCTGGAGCCGACGTGGGGGACTCGAATGGGGTTGGGACCACCTCAGAGGGAAGGAGACCAGGTGACCAGTGCCTAGGAAAGGAACTGGCCTTGTGGGCTGCTATATTTGTAGAAATTCCTCTTACCCCCTTTCACCCTCCCTCACCACCAGCTTCTTCATTTCTCCAGGCCACACCCATCCCACACACACCTGTGCTCTTCCTTCTAGAGGTGACAATGTGACAGAACTCCTGTCCTGGGTCATTTCATTAACTGCTCTGCCTGACCCAGGGCCACCCTGCCTCGGGCAGACCCGTGTTCTGACCCTGTTCCCAAATGGTGGTCTGTAATGCAGACGGTCACTGTTGACACCTGCTCCAGCTTCAGCTGGTGACCCTGAGGAGATTCCTCCAAATCTTCCCTCTGTGTCCCTCACGTCCCCATCACAGAGAGGCTCGAAACCCCCAGCTGTCTCTTGCACAGTCTGCTCCAATCACAGCAGAGAAACCTCCAGGGATCACCCTTCCCAGCACCCTGGGGAGCAGTCACCCAAAGGAGTGCAGAGAAGAGAAGTGCCTCCCACTGCCACCAATGGGGACACTGTCAATCTCATCTGCAGGTCACTCTGCTATACTGGGACAGGTTTGTGCATGATAAGGTCCTTCCTCACAAGTCAGAGAGAGTCCACACATCCTAGACCATGACCTGCTTGAACTCTGGGTCTAGGAGGGTTGGAAAGTCTGGGAAATCCAGCTGAGTTTCCTGCAGGAAGGAGAGATGGAGGGAGCAGGGACATAGGCTTGGGACTGGCCATCATATGGGTTAAAGATCTCACTAAACATAGGTACAGTAGCTCATGCCTGTAATCCTAGCGTGGAGGATTGCAGTTTCAGGCCAACGCAGGGAGAAACATTAAGGAGATCCCATTTCGGTGGAAAAAGCTGGGTGTGGCGGTGCATGCCTGTCATCCCAGCTACAGCAGGAAGCATAAAATAGAAGGATCGAGGCCAGTCCTGGCAAAATGCAAGACCCTATCTCCAAAATAGCCAGGGTAAAAAGGACTGGTAGAGTAGCTCAAGTGGTGGAGCACCTGCCTAGCAAATGTGAGGCCTTGAATTCAAACCCCAGTACTGCCAAAAGAAAGAAAGAAAGAAAGAAAAACAGGAATGTAAAACGGGTCCTATTTGGGGATGGGTAACTGTAGGCGTGTGAAGAGCAGAGGAGGGAGTGAATGTGGTGAAAATTCTTTATACTCATATGAAAATAGACAAATGAAACCTGCTGGAATTATTTTAAGGGGTGGGGAGGAGTAAAGGAGGGTAGAGGGGGTGAATTTGATTGGGGTACACTGTACATGAGTGTGGAAATATCACAATGAAATCCCTTGTACAAGTAATATATGTTAAGAAAATGCAAGAAGAGAAGAAAGAAAAAAAAGAAAGGAAGGTGTCCTGTTACCTCCCATGCCTGTCTTCGTGGCTCAACACAGGAAACAACTCATCTACAAAGCTTTTGATGAGAACACCATGGGACAAAGGACCCTCGGCCCTGGGGGCTGCAGCGACAGAGCAGCACAGGTCCTCATGAAACATGACTTTCTTCCCAAGTAGTGGGCACACACTGGGCTACTTCTCCCTTAAGAGCGGGCCTAGTGGGAGGCACATAGGTCACTGGCGGCATGCCTTTGAAGGTGACATTGGGACCTTTGCCTCTTTCACCATCTTCTCAGCTTCCCTTTCTCTAAGCTCCAGCTTTCTGGGAAAAAGAAGTCCCTGAATTTGGAGGAATTGGGCTGGACCCCCAGATTTTCTTTCTTGAGACATTTTCTTGGCATTGCCTAAATCAAAAAGGGGACACTAGAGGGACAGACAAGCAGCCAAGAAATGAAGCCAGGACCTGGGGCAAAAAGGCTTTTATTTGTGTTTCTGGGTGCCGAGAGAGATGAGGACATGGGGCTGGATTCACACTGGGTGGACACACCAAGGTCACAATTCAGCTGCATCTTGAAACCCTGTCTGGTGGGGGTGCTGGGATTTGGGCCAGTGACTTGTCCTCTCTGGGCTTCATTTTGTCTTTTGTAAAATAAGGCTGACTGATTCTTGTGAGACACACTGAGTAAGGAGGCAGGCAGAGAGCAGGTTTCTTGAAGATTGATGCTATGTTTTCATTTGCCCCACAAGTATTTCTTGAGAACCTCCTCTTGTACAGTGTGTGGCTGCTAGAGAAACAAGGTCAAATAAGCCAAGTCCCTGTGAACCTCTGCGTGTGGCTTCATTTGGGTTTTCTCCACAGGACCCACACATTGCTGGGTTTCTGCACTAATTTGACCCAGAGGATGATCAATAAATATAGTTCAAGTTGTCTCATCTCCCAAGCATGCATGAGCCCCTGCTGTGCACAGAGCTCAGGATGCAGGGTTCAGACCTGTCCCTCCCTCAAATATGTCTCCACCTACTTCCTCCTCTGCCCCCTGCTCCTGAGGTAGGGAGTGTGTGGCCATTTCCCCTCGTGTCTTCAGTCTGGTCCCACGTACACGAAATGGGACAGAAACTCTTATGCTTATGGTAATCTAGTTGTGGATGGATTCCCTTTTGTT